ATAAACAGTACTTGAGCTAGGAGGATTTATCGTCAAATAACCAGAACACTGTAATATAGAACAGTACTTGTATTAGGCAATATATCTAATATCTAGTTCAGTTCCCTTATCAAGTTTCAAATCAAAAGTCTAGGTTATAAAATCTTAGCCCGAATGTTTATTCTATCACTGTACTGTCATGTAATCTGCGTATAAAGGTTCATTATTCACAAAAATGTTCTTTAGTGAGCGCCAGTCTTGCAACTGCATCCCAGCTAACTCCCGCCCTCCTTCACCCCGCAGAAGCACGTGAGCTACGACTTCGCGTACAGTGTGCGTGACGACGATACGGGCGCGGCCTACAGCCACCTGGAGGAGCGCGAGGGCAAGGTCACCACGGGCGAGTACCGCGTGTCCCTGCCCGACGGACGCATCCAGATCGTGTCGTATGTGGCTGACGAAAACGGATATCGCGCTAAGGTTTCGTATGAGCCCTCCAGCGCCGCCCACCCGGCCCCGAAACAGCACCCGCCCAAATACGCGCCCGCACCCGTCCACGGGAGGAGGCCGAGGCCACCCCTAGGCTATGGCCGACGTCGCCGACCGAGGCCCCACCACTCCAAGGTTCTCCACCACGAAGAGCCTGTTCACCACCCCACTCCCCATCCGTATCTGCCGGAGCCTCACCACCCTCCCCACCACCCGCCACCCCCTCCTCCCCACCACCCGCCACCCCCTCCTCCCTACCAACCCCCTCATATCACAACCTACAAGCCCCTGTACCCGACGCCTCCGGTCCACGCCACGCCCGCGCCGATCTACTACCCCCGCAAGACCCCTACAACCTCTGAGCCGGCGCCCCCTCCTCCTCCTCCTCCTCCCCCTCCGCCCGCAATCGCCACCCCTAAGCCCCCTCTCCCGCCCCCTCCTCCTGCGCCTGTCCCCGCTATCACGACCCTTCCTCCCCTGACGACGGTGACCCCGTCTCCCGCCCCCGTGATCAGGACGTCTTCCTCGCCCCTCAGACTGCCAGAAGTGACCAGCTACAAGCCCAAAGAGGACGTGACGACGCCCGCTCCCAGGGTTATCACGACCATACCCACGACTTACCGGCCGAGGACCGTCACGCCGCACTCGCTCTTCGTCCCGGCGCATCTCATCTCCCCAACGCCTTCTCCGCTGGGATACACGCCCTCGCCCTCGCCATTGCCATACACGCCCTCGCCCTCGCCGTTACCGTACACGCCCTCGCCCTACCCTCCGCCCTACTCCGCGTCGCCCTACGCACCCCCGGCGGGACCCTACACACCTGCCCCTCCCCCGTACCCAATAAAGACTCCCCTCCACTACTCTGGAGGACCCACGCTTCCCCCGCCCTACGGTGGCCCATCCCCGCACTACTACAGCCCTTATTCGTCGCCCTTCTTTGGCCCCCAGTACGGCCCGCGGTTCCCCGGCCCTTCCTACCCGCCTAGGATCCGCACGTACACCACATCGCACCCGGGCGGGACCGTGACGCCGCAGCCCTTTTTTCCTTCCTCCGCGAAGCCCTTTCCCTGAGGCTGCGGTGGCCTGGGCACCGCAGCCAACAATCGATCCTCATTTAGGGGATCCCCGGGGTCCTCAGCTAAGTCACGACGAACTAGTCTCTTCGGGGGAGGACATGAGCCTCACTTCGACTGAAATCCACATGTCCCTGGTGAGCCAGAGCCCTGACTTGTCCTCGGAAATGTCCTCCTCGGAGGAAGAGGAAGATTCACTACTTACCCTTCAGCAGCAGCTCACTGCAACAAGCCTGGAGACTTCTGACCTTGTACAAAGTCGAGAACTTGTAGATACTCCCGAAAAAGTTTCTAAGCATTCTCTCAACAAAGGGAAAGACTCTTCTCATAACAAAGAGAAAAACCTTGCTCACAGTCGAGTGACGGAACATTCACAAAGCCAAGAGACAGACCTGACCAAAAGCAAAGAACTAGAAACTTTACACAGTTTGGAGACAGACAGATCACGTAATCAAGAGACAAGTAGCGAAGAGACTGGCATTCCATATAGTCAAGAAGGAAGCTCATCGCCAGGCAGAAAAGCAGCCCTGGTACAAAGTGGAGAATCGATCGGATCAGACTTCCAGGAAGTAGATATACCATCCAGCAAAGAGACTCGCCTTCCAAACAGCCAGGAGACAAACTTATCCCTCAGCCAAGAGCAATATGTTTCACACATCAAGAACTCTGATTTGTCCCAAGAGAAAGGTAAAGTGTCGTCTCACAGCCAAACAACAGAAGAGGCCTTTAGTCAGGAGAAAGACTCGTCAGTTGGACGAGTCACAGCCTCATCGTTCATCCCTCGAGTCACCACGAACCTCCTTCTTATATCTAAGACTCAGACTCCTTCATCTCCACCTCCAAACGATCACTTGCGTGGGTTCTTCCTGCCTGTGAGATAGTCAGTCCGAAGTGTCGTTTTAAGTTGATAGTTTGAATGTTTATTTTCTCTCCCTCACTCTCACCCTCTCTCTCTCTCT